AGCTTAAAAGCCACACTGGAATGCTTTAGCCATGATAAGCTGGCTGTTTATGAACAGCAGAGGCTTTTATTCCTGTATTCTTCGATCTGAAACAAACAGGGAAAGTAGCTGGTTATGGGCTTCTCGCAGAGTAGGTTAACCAGTTTCAAGACCTTTGTAGAAGTAGGTGAACTGCTCCTGGTAGCATCACTTGGTCCTTTGACTGCAGTTGGAATGTCTCCATATTGCAATGAAAATTATGTTTAAAAAAAAAAAAAAATTACTTAGGGGGTCCTGAGGACATGGTGACTTGGAATACAAAAGTATCTGAGTCTCAGAACAGAACACTCCACTTTTTGTATAACTTAAAGATGGGAATCCAAAAATCATCAGACATTTATATGTCCTACAAGAGTATTTAGACTTCCAATAAGAAGTTAAAAAAAAAATGCTTTGAAAGTGGTCACTGTATCACTAGATCACTTCTTGTGCTTAGAGGTTTAGACTGGGCTGTCTGAGGTTAGCCTGCAATGTATGGGATCATGACGAAACTTCTCCAGGATGAGACAGCTCATCCTGTGATTTATTGACAAAGTTTTGCAAAATCTCTTTCTGGATCAGGTGGGACTGCTCACTGTAGAAGACAAAATATCATTGTATGTGGATGAGCTCTCCTCTAGCATGAGAGATCTTTTTTTCTGTAATGAGCAAAACAGGGTAACTGAAAAAAGTAGGCTTTGGGGAGTTTCAGGTGTGATGCAGACAAGGACTGGCACTGCAGAGATTTTTCACAGAATCACATAATTGAAGGGGTTGGAAGGGACCTCAAAAGATCATCAGGTCCAACCCCCCTGCCAAAGCAAGTCCTTAGAGCAGGCTGTCCAGGTAGGCATCCAGACAGGCCTTAAATGTCTCCAGAGAAGGAGACTCCACAACCTCCCTGGGCAGCCTGTTCCAGTGCTCCATCACCCTCACTGTGAAGTTCTTTTGCGTGTTGGTGCGGAACTTCCTGTGCTCTATCTTGTGACCATTACTCCTTGTCCTGTCCCCGCAAACAACTGAAAAGAGGTTGGCCAAATCTCTCTGTCTCCCATACCTCAGGTATTTATACACATTGATGAGATCCTCTCTCAGTCTTTCTCCAGGCTGAACAGACCTAGGTCTCTCAGCCTTTCCTCACAGGGAAGATGCTTCATGCCCCGTATCATCTTCGTGGCCCTCTGCTGGACTCTTTCCAGGAGATCCCTGTCTTTTTGTACTAGGGAGCCCAGAACTGGACACAGTACTCCAGGCGAGGCCTGACCAGGGCAGAGTAGAGAGGGAGGATCACCTCCCTTGCTCTGCTGACCACACTCCTTTTAATGCACTCCAGGATCCCATTGTCCCTCTTGGCCATGAGGGCACACTGCTTGCCCTATCATCTACCTGGACGCCCAGGTTTTGTATTAGCTTCTGGACAGAAAACATCTACTAAGGTTTGCTGTTTTTGTTGTTGTTGTTTTTTAGTTGGTTGGTTAGTTGGTTTTTTGCTTACTTACAAGTTATGTCACTGCTGCCTATATTCCACACTCCCCACACCCTTGAAACTTTTTATTAGTAATTTTCTATGCCCACTATAGAACTTCAATATGCATTCAGTATAAGGACTTGACAAAGTCACTTGTCATGTAAATCAGATACAGCTGTTTCTTAAATCCAGTCGTTCTTGTCATTTTGTTTGCCACTAATTACTTTGTTTACATGAAATACTGTATTCTGACATTGTGTCCCTAAGTACACTAAGAAAGTGTTTCTATTAGCTTTCTATTATTTTTTTTCTTTTTTCTTTTTTTTTTTTTCTGCTTGTCTTTCTTTTGTCTAAATAAGTGATGTAGGAATTGCATTTTCTTTACTTTTCATCATCAGTATTTCCACTGATTTAAGAAACTTTTTGGTCTATACATTCTTCTTTGCGTCCCTTGATGTCTGCCTCTGGAGGTTTGAGATCAGGAATCTCTCATGCATTCTGGAGTCTTGTTGATTACAAGCTATGACACCCAAAGTTCGTGTTCTGATTGTAATTTCTCCTCTCCATCTGCTCCTGCTCCTTGGGAGATATGTATCTATTTCTGTCATTTAATCTTTTTTTTTTTTTTTTTTTTGTAACAATTAGTCAAAGAATTAACGTAAGTGATCTTTTTTCAACAAACTACCTCAATCTCCGTCAGAGGCCTTCTTGTCTCCAGCTGCAACATAGGCCCAGAGTATTTTTTTATTTTTTTAATGTCTTGCACCTTTGAAAAGGTGGGGTTTAATTTATGTATTTGTTCTGTGTCACTTAAGTCTGTTACGTAATATCTTTTGCAAGGTCATCTTGTCCTATTCCTGGCCTCAGTACAGTAAAACACTTAAGCACATCTTTATCTTTTCCCAAGTAAGTACTCCTATTGTCTCTGACATTTTGTTGCCTTCCTGTGAAAAGGTATCTACTTCCTGAATAAAATTTGGTTTATTTGGCAGATTCAGCTACATGCTGTCTTCCTCTTGCAAACAGAGAATTTCTTAATCTTGAAGAGTATCTGTTATGAGAAAAGCAAATTGATTTCTATGTGGTCAAGTTTCTTCTCTGAGAATAGAAATGGGTGAGTCAGACTACACAGAAATCAAAGTCTGATGAGAGCATGACTTTGCTCTGCTTGTAGTAGTAATCTGTCTCACAAGCTACTGAATTCTTTTGCGCTGTACACTTCATGTCCTAATTTGGTGTGATATTTTTTTTTCCTTGTAAACTTTTCATTCCAAATGTTATATTTTCACTGCAATGAAAGTGAGGCATAGTATGAAATTTCAGATGCAAGAGCGGGTTTTATGTCAGCTTTCCCCTGAACTTACATACCGTAGTCTTCTGTAAGATTTTTTAAAACCAGAAGAAAATTTCCTATTCTTCTCCATTTCCCATGCCTTTTGGGGCAACAGTGTCTGTTTCCCATACTATGTAGGGTCAGTTCATGTTGTCTGTCCTCTAAACTGATTTGTTTTTGTAAAAACGATGGTAAAATATTAAACAATTGTAAGATTAATCAATTTATGGAGCTTAACGGCCTTTGTATAATCTAAAGATTAGTTTTTCACCATGTATTTCACAGTTCAAAGATGGTTTTGCAATGTTTTTATCTTTTCTCCTAAAATAGTAAAGTATGAAACAAACCCATTCTGAATGAAGGTGGATGAAAAACTAACACTTGTATTTATAGCATAACTATTTTAAAGATTTTCTATTGGCTTATGGACTTTAATTTAGCTTTAGAAGCTGGTGAGAGAAACATTACCAGCTATGTTATTTTCTGGATAAGCAGAGACATGGAAGAGCATGTGCTAGCTAACGTTTACAAATGCAAGTGTGCGATATTCACCAGATAATCTAGGTTAAGACATCTGGTCATCTTGTACTTCCCAGTGTGGTTTTGCTATTCAGCTCTGGTAGTGTTGCAGGTATCTCCTCCAAAGCTGTAAAATTCTGCACAAAGTGCAAGGGAAGAAAAAACTGGCCCCAGAAGAGGAAGAAAAGAACGTGTCAGATTTTTTCACAATACTATACTAGTTTGAATAATAGTTTTGCTTATGTTGAAGTAACTTAGAATGAACTTTAAATTAAAAGAAATATATGTGTGGTTTTTTTCTTCATCATTGTATGTCCTGATAACATAATGATTAGTACGAGTTCCTAATAAACAGTGATTTGTTTATGATATCTATTGACCCTTTAAAACATTTTTAATTAGGTAAATGGGATACCAACTGTATTAATGAACCTTTAGGACAAATTGTCATCAGCCTATGACATTCTCAGTTCCCATTGTTCCCACTATGTCACTTAAACACCTGTCAGAGGTTTTGGTTAAGGATCACGAATTAAAACACCCTATTGATTCAGGCACATTTCCAGAATCCAGAACTCTGCAAGAATGTTGTGTCACTTTGAATGATAAAGAATGCCAACTGTATTTAGTTTCTGTGAGCAGTCCTTGCCAGGGTGTGAGTAATGCCATGTTGTACATTCTGCATTTTGTGTTCCAAATTCCATGCTCTGCGTTCATTGTTCCAAGTCATGAATTCTGGACATGATGCAGTTGAAATAAATTGTACGTAGTTTCATTACCTTTTTTTCCCCTGGTGATTCTCGACTAGAAGACCAAGTTAATTTCAATTAAACACACAATCAGTTCAGTACAATCAAGAAGAAAATTGCATTTTTCTAACTGTGCCACAATTCCAGTTTTGATACAAGATAAAGGTGAACTCTTAAAAGCTTTGAATAAGAATTAATGCAAAGCTTAGCATAAAACCTGCCCTAAGTATGACTCTGATACAATACCATCTGGGCTTCAGTAAACCCACAAGTGTAAATATCATAAATTAGTGTTTGAAATTTCTGAAGTAATCTTATAAACCCTCTTATTAAATAACTTGGCTGTGAACATTCCATCAGTTTAAATGATAGCACAAAAGGTCCTACTGCTATAAAACAAACTATTTTGGCTTGCTTCTTGGGTGGCTGCTTATTGTTTTACAAGACAATAGGAATTGTCGTAGTGTTTTGGATTATTTTCATAAATTTATTGAATATTTATTGTCAGGATTACTCCAGTTTTGTATTTTGAAGCTTGATACAACTTACATTTTTAAGAAATCCTCTGGTATTTTTCCAGTTTTCCATGACTTTTCCTAACCACTCTCTTTCAAAATCCTTTTAATTTTTATTTGTGAACTGAATAAACAATCTGGAAGTCATTGATAGACAATAAAAATGGAACCCCACAATGCTATTAAAAAAAAAAAAGGGGGGGGGGGTGGGCGACAGACACTATTATCTTGTCTACGTTTGACATACTTTTCTAAAATTTCCCACAATTACTGGCTCAATTTCAGCTCTGCTGGTGGTAGAAAATTTAGAAGTGCTAGTAGACACAAGGCACTGATGTGAGCTGGTGTTTCGGATCATCCATTGTTATTTATAACTATTTATTTCTTGTGTGTTACAGCTTCCAGGAGTCAGAGTCATGGATTAGTATCCCATTGAGCTAGGCACGAGGCCTGTTTTGGAGAATGAGGCTGCTCCTACCACACTGATTAAAATGTGACAGTTAAAAGTCAGGTGAGCAATCAATCTGAAAATGTCTCTTTAGTAAATAGAAACACAGAGGCAATTGATACGACTCCCAGAATATTAAACTACTAGCTCTTGTGTTTACAACAGCTTCCAGAGCAAGGTTTTCCTTCTTTTCCACTGTAAGAACAAGTCAGTTTTTGTTGTTTGATCCTACTCTCCACTACAAAAGAAGTACTTCAGAAGTGTGTTAAAATGTGTGTATATATAATATGTTAGGGGTAGAAACAGTGAACACTCATAATGCAAGGCTTAACGTAGTATGTTGCTTTTGTTTCCTAACAGCATATGCAGCAATAACTTGTTCTTTATGTGTCTGCATGCAGGTTACTGGAGAGCACGAGAAAATAACTTGCAAGTAGTTTTTATAGTTTTGTAAAAATTTCTATTATACAAATATATCACTATACACATCTCCCTATTCTATAATTTGGCAGTGCAACTTCACCCTTAGGTGACTAGAGGTGACTAGATTCAGTAGACACATAAAAGTTAAGGAAATATTTGGAATCATATTTATCATTAAGTTTTCAGTAGCACATAATTGTCTATTTCGAGAGAAATCAGCATGTTTTGACTGATTGGAGATCAAGCTGTAGCTTTAAAACTTGTTCAAGTTTCTCTATGATTATTTTTAACCAGAAAAAGATATTCCAGAACATTACTCAAATGCAGCCTTGTTTCAGAAGTTCTGTAATTGCCCTATTAATACAGACACTTGTACCAGAATAAACATGTTTTTACCTCTGTAGTTTATTCCTTTAAGAAAAAAAGGCAGTTCATTTCCTGTGTTTGTAGAAATAGATGAGGTTTTAATAACTATGATATGCCAATAACTGGTGGACATACTGAAGTAAAATTTTGTCTAAAAACTTATCTGGTAGCAAACTAGAATTGCATGCTGAATGAAATTAGTACAGTATAAACTACTGGCCTGGAGCATCTTTACTTATGCTGAATTATGTTAGTTCTTGATAATGCTTTGATTGTTTCTGCTTCAACACCAAATGGAGCTTTGCTGGGAATTCACCATGTTGAGTAGTGGGGTTAACATTTATTTATGTACTGAAGTCATTTCCTGAAGATATTTTTGAACACTTTGTTGTTATTTTATCAACTTTCCATTGTATCATCATGATATTTTTGGTTAGGGAGGTGACATGTCACAAAAAGAAAAGAAGTGTGAATTTGAGTCTGACTGATGAACTCTAATTTTTAATTTTTGCACATTACCAGTATTCCTTACATGTTAATATTTCTTGGTGCCAATTTCTTAATTGACAAACTGCTTTTATTTCATTCCCAATTGTTTCATAGCAAGTTAAGACAAAAGAGAGGAGAGCCCTTACTAGGTGTCTTGAGAGAGGCACAGCAACTGAGATATCCAGATGACCTCTGTAGAAGTGACATTTAGAAGTTCTGTGCTGGGAGAGGTTTACAGAGCTGTAGCAGCCTCGTCTCACAACCCATTGGGGATCTCTCAGTTTTAGGTGACTTTCCCACTGACTTTTGTTAGAACTATTCTCCATCTTTGTTTTGTTCAGTGCCGCACAGAACAAGAATTCTCCCCCCCCCTTTTTTTTTTTTACTTCCTTGTGACAACACCAATGGAGAGTTGAAACTATTTCTCTTCCTTCCTTGCAAAGCATTTTGATATAATATTTCCATTTTGTCGCTTATTTTAATATATATCTGGCTACATACATTTTTTTTCTTTGGCTTTCTGAGGGTGCCATTAATAAAGCATTACACATTATACTATGAGAAATACTGATTTCACAGTGATCTTACTAGAATTAAGTTTTTGTTTGTTTGTTTTTGATAAAACATCATTGGGTATTATTATAGATGGTAGAGTTGGAACAGAGACCCCCAGATGAAGACCTATTTTGCTCCTTCTCAAATCTAGCTAGTTGAAGACACAGCTGCCAGGCCCTCATGATCATTCCAACTTAAAACTTCACAGTACAATAGATCACGTGACAAGAAAATAACTCTGCAGCTGCATTGCAGTCCCATCTTGTCCCCATGTTGAATCTAAGGAGAGATGATAGGAACACTAGCTCAATCAAATGACATTACACTAGGATTTGCAAAGAAAAAAAAAAAAAGAAATAGAAGTTCACTAATCCATTACTGTGGGATGTTTAATATTTCTTGGCTAGAAATGCTTTAAAACAGGGATAAGAAAAAGATGAATATGAAAACTTTCTGGAAAAGATCCAGGAAGCCAGGTATCATTATGCTTGCCTTTAGTGATGAAGCATTTTAGAGACAGGTCAAATTTCTCCTAGAATTAATTGCATTAGTGGTCACAAAACATCTGGAAAAAAAAACAGTATATCTAGGAACACCCTGAACAGCCTTTTTTCAGAAGGTGTGTCTGCATAGCATGGTTTGGTATTTTCCTATACACAAACACATATTCTGTTTGTTTTTGTTTTGTTTTGGTTTGGTTTTTTTCAAAGCAGTATCTGGACTTGGGCAGGAGGTGTAAAAAGGTATTCGACAGTGTGGTCCATTTTTATATAGCACTGATACTGTCAGAGAAAAAGGATGGCTTTGAATGGAGAAATGATGTCATATCTGATTACAGGTCATTTGTCATGGGAAAGGATTTCTAGTGTAGACAGGTCAAACAAAAAGATTTCTGAAAATCTACGTTGTGGTTTCTACCTTGAATGATTTACTGTTAGCAGATGAGCTATAAGTAGGTCAACATTGGAAGGGTTTTTTTTGGTTGGTTGGTTATTTTTTGTATTTCTGGGTAATTCTTGTTCAATTTGTGAATCAGTTATTTTGTTTTCCTTAGGCAGAAAGAGACTGCAGTGGAATACTCCATTTAGCTTTACTACAGAAGTCAGCTCAAAATACAGTGCTCTTTGGGTCAGAAAGAGTGGAACTTACATATGTTATTTTACACAATGTTTCATGCTTTATGTTGTTCTTGTATTAGAGTATTGGAGCTAGAAGCTCTGCACCTGAAATAACCTTTGTTATGCTGTGTAATGAAAATCACTTTACTTGTGAAGTTAATTTGCAATAGGTAAAGTTGTATACTAGAAAAACAGTGTTTATATTGGCTTGCTCTTGCATTTTCATTGGGTATTGGATGAGAAAGGTGGCAAGAGTTTGACTGTTGCAGCAAAACTTGTAATCCATCCAAGAACTAGTTGGACTTCCTGGTGTCTAAATTTAGCTTTGAAAGAGGGTCCCAATTTTTGCAAGGAATTATGTGGTTGCATGTAAGAATTGCTGGGTGTGGGCTCACCATCTCCGCACTTGCTCAATGTATTTATACTCAGTGTAGGTTTCTGTTCGTATCTTTCCTATGCTCATCTTCAATTCAGGGGTAGCAAATGCTTAGGATGGAGCTTAGCACTAAACAGCCGCTTTTAAACCATTATGCTGAGTTGGAATCTGTTTCTTCTGTATTGTCTGCCTCTTCAGCCTTATGCTGCTACTAGGATTATGCAACCTTGTTCCCTGATGCTTTGGGTCAGGTAACTGATTTTTTTTTAAAAAAAAAAAAAAAAAAAAAAAAGGGTGCTGAGCTCTGTGGGTTAAGTAATGTTTTTTGTTTGTTTGTTTTTGTTTTGTTTTGCTTTCAAGTACAAAGGAAATGTTAGGAGAGGAAGTATTAATTTAAAATTTCCGGATATGTCCCTCTTGCAAACATGACTGGTGCTATTGTTAGGACAGTCTGCCTCCTGTTATATTTGTACTTCTGCAAGTCCAAGAAGGAAGAACAAATCTGGCATGTAAAAACTGTGTGGAAGTGTACTTAGATGAGAAATTATACTTTCTTAACAATGATGGGCTTGATAGCCATGTCACCTTTTTTGTCAATTAAGGTGAAGTATAAAGTTTAAAGATGAAGTTTAAAGTATAATATTCTTAACTGAGGAGTGTGATTCAATGAAAGAATTTGTTTTAAAAGTATTTCCTCACATGTAATGTTTCTTGGTAAATACTAAATATTCTAGAAATATGACAATTTAAATGAGTACTTGTGTACCACCTACTATAACCAAGTGACTACTGGGTACCGACAGGTCCCTTTAACCTGAGTGGACAGATTTTTGTTGGCAGTACTATTGACATGTCTTTGTGCTTTATTGCCTTGCCACTCTTAAATAATAGTTTCAGACATTTAAAGCTCCACTCTGTGCCTTACAAAGGCAAACAATACCTGTCTAATTTTGTGTTGAAGTCCCCATTTGTTGCATTCATTTTGTGATATTACTTTTAATAGCAATAGGCATAGTTCAGGATGCACTCTGTCACCACTTAAGATGGAGACAGAAACCACAGCACCATCTTCACCGTAAGCAAAACTCCTTTCACATCTATCAAGTGTCTGAGCAGACAAAAGAGCTTTGATCACTTTCAGTCTCATTTAACAAGAGACTTGTTTTAATTATAGAATGCTTTAGCTATTACTACACATTTGCCTGGCACAGTTGGCATATGACATCATTTTACAAAAGCTTGGGTTTCTTTAGAGCATTCCAGCCTTAGGCTGCTGTTCTTAGAACTGTAGAAGGAACATTATTTTTTCACCAACTGAAGAAGGTATCTTTAAGTTAGAGCCAATAAAAATAATTTGATAATGCAGAGCTATTCCCAAGTAATGACCACAAAGCAGCAGTCACCTAATGAAGACTTATTCATATTCACCTCTGCTGTATTTCCAGTAACCTCATGACAATGCCAAAAACTTTCCCATTCTTTCATGCTGGAAAAAGTAGGATAGAATTTCTGAATTTCTGGTAGTTCCACACCCCCCCCCCCCCCCCCCCCCCAATTTCACTTATAAAAACATATTGTTCTTAGAAAAAAAATGCAGGGGAATGTTTTTCTTTCTTGTATATGCTCTATAGAATGTTTACCATAGATTATACTCTGCATAGAATGTACACTTTAGATTAAATGCCATGGAAGTTCAATATAATATAAAAAAAAAGTCATTTATGTAATTAATGTCA